ATTATTTGAACCTCCCAACAGTGTTTTCACACTGCCGGCTGCAACTCCTCAGCTGGTCTTGAAGTCAATTCAGTAGTTCTAGAAATAGCGTTTTTTTAAAAATTGAGACAGAGTGAGAATGAGAAATACAAGAGTAAATAGCATGAAACACCCCATGAATCTTTTACATTATCTACAGTTTCAATTTAAAACATTTCTTATTGTGAGTCACGGTAGAAAAATATACACTGGAAAAAAAAAACCTCTTCTCACAACTTTTAAGGTATACAAAAATTATTATCACCATTTTCAGAAGCAAAAACTGAGGTTTACAACAATTAAGTCAGTGCTCAAATGTAGCCGGCTCATAAATGGCAGCCAAATCTGTGACCCGGGTGGGCTGCCCTCAGACCCTGGTCCTGGGGACACCGTCGGGGCTGTGGGACTGGGCTTGGCCCTGAGGAATCATCTAGTGCTTCCACAAAAAAATAAGCACATGAAATCGACAGGACATGGGCAAATTAATTACTAAATTATCATTTTGCTTGTCTCTTCAGAGTACAAAACAATCGTATCTTGTAAAATTGTAAAAAAATGAAACCAGTAAAAAAAACTAGGCATCAGAACAATGGAAGAAATCACACACAAACACACACTCACACACATACACACACACACACACACACAAGAGGTGTACAGACAATATATAAATAAATGTTAAATTTTTGCACATAAGTTTTGAGTGATTACGTTTCTGCTAAAGTTTTCCTCGTTTTAAAAATCAGAGCTGTGACTGTCCTAAGAAATTGACTTTGGGCAATTAACTATGTTTCTCAAACTGTAACAGGGTACGGCAATAGTAGCCTCTACCTGCTAAACCTGCTGCAAATATTAGATTTTTGCACCTCTGGCACAGAGCAAATTCTCAATAAAGGTAGATGCTATTATGACGTGATACAACATAACGGTTCTTTAAATTTGAAACTAATACTTTGACACATAACCAAATGTTACAAGATATCAGAAACGAATTAAAAAACGTCTTGGCCTGAATCAAGCACCAGGTGTTTCTAGCAAGGACTGATTACTGCCAAGGCTCCCAGCCCCAAATCTCGGTACCTTAAGACCTTGCCCCCATTCCTTAAGAGCCTTGCTGCAACAGCTGCCCCCACTTTCCAGATACTCCAGGCCTTTCCTATCTGTTGGCTGCTTCCTTCTTGCCTGAGGCTCCTCTACTCTAAAAATTAAGATTAAAAAATGTATAAATGCACCCCTATGTTAACAGCAGCATTATTTATAATAGCCAAGATGTGGAAAATAATCTAAGTGTCCATCAGCAGATGAGTGGCTAAAGAAACTGTGGTTGATACATACATACATATACATACACGCCATGGAATGATTATCATTTCACTATAGAAAAAAAAGAAATTCCTGACATCTGTGGCAATATGGACGGACCTTGAGTACATATACTAAGTGAAATGAAGTCAGACCAAAAAAAGGCAAATCTCTATGATCTCACTTTTATGCGAACTCTAAAAACAAAAATTAACAATCAAATAAGCAAGCAAACAAACAAAACTCATAGAAATGCAGATCAGATTATGATTACCAGAAGCAGAGGGTGGAGGAATTTGATAAAGGTGGACTCAAGGGACAAAATTCCAGTTATAAAACAATTAAGAACCGGCAATGTCAAGTTCAACATGATAACTACAGTGAACACTGCTGTGTGATACAGCTGACGTTAAAGAGTAAGTCCTAGGAGTTCTCACCTCACATACACACACACAAAAAAACTTTGTTTGTATTATATGAGATGATGAATGCTAACTAAACTTAGTATAGAAATCACTTCACAATATATGTAAGTCAAGTTATTATGCTGTACACCTTAAACTTAATAACTGGAAGAAAAAAATTAACAACTTCCTTCAATCTTCCCAAACAACCAGCTAAAAATTCATTTTCCAGTGCCAATGACTCTTTAGGTAACTTTAGAAAATTACACTAACAATTTTTAATTATTGACTATAAAACTATGCCTGGGCAAAGTAAAACTTCAAGCAGTAAAAAGAGAAAAAAGAAAAGCTTTCGGTCTTCACCTAACAAATTCTTCATAGGTCCTCTTTGGAGTTACCACTCCCAGGCTCCTTATGAGTCATTCCACACAGATGTAGTCCTGCGTGCATACGCTGTGCATGTGCGTATATGTTTTTTAACATGAATCCATACAACTCTATTGTAGTATGTGGGGACCTCTTGCTTAGTCCCCTATCTTGGACTGTTTTATCAACACATTCTTTTTTAAGTACTGCACAGCATTCCAGCAAACAAATACGCCATAACTTAAATCCCCCAACGTTGCACATTTAGGTCAGTAATGATTTTTTTGTTACAAATAATGATATAAACAAACATCCATACACACATCTTGGGTAGGTAGGAGTAGAACCTATAAAACAAACTCTTAGAAATAAAATTGCCTGATCAAAGGGTTTATATAATTGTAATCTTGACAACTACTGTTAAATTTTTCAATACAAGAGTTTAGAGATTTTGACCTCTATGCTTCTGTTACCCCACTTCACCTGCACTTGATGTTCTGTTTACAGTCACCAATCTCATAGTAAAAAATGGTTTCTTATTGCTATTATAATTTGTATGCCTTTCCTATGAGTTAGGTCTAGTATATTTGGCCATTTGTATACCTCTTCCCATTTCATTGCCAAATTCTAGATCATTTTCTCTCCTTGAAACTGCTCTTTGAAAGGTAATCAATGCCTTTCTCTCCAAGACCAAGAACCTCATCTTACTCCAATCATCAGATCACCATCTTAACAAAATCTGACACCAACAACCACCTCCCTCAGGAGATGCTTCTTCCCCTGCTATGACAATTTGTTGTGCTGGTTCTCCATGAGGTGCAAGCCAATCTTCTCCCTGGAATCCTAAAGAGGAGCAAGCATATCTTAATGTCAAATCTCTGGTTCCCTTTCCTTACTATAACATTCTTAAAATGTCATCTATGTGCAAAGACTTCCCAATGTCAATCCTCAGATCGTCTGAGACCTGAACCTATGGGTCTGTCTAATGAAGACCATGGAGAGATGGGTGTCCTTACCATACTCCAGATAACAAACTGGGTCAACATGCAAGCAGCACTCTGTGCTGGACACTGTGCTTGTACTTGATACTTACTATATCTCGTATAACTCCTCATATCCACAAGAGAACATAACTACCTTACTGTCCACCTTCCCAAACTTCTTCCACTTCCTTCATCATCAAACCTCAATCAGTGACCATGTTCTTCACCCCTCTTCTTATCCAAGAAGCTGCCAAATCTGGTCAATTCTGCCAGTAACTGTCTTGGTGTATCTATCCAGCTTTTCCATCCCCACCTCTGGCCCAAACTGCTGCTTCCTTACCTTTTGCCCCATTCCTGATGCCACGAGAGCCCTCTGCTGACAGCACAAATATCATCACTTCAATCTACCTCCTTAGAGCACATGACTTTTGGACGTGTTCCCTGCCATCTCACCATATACCCGGCTCCTGGCCTACAACAAGAAGGCACTGCACTAAATGTTTTACAGGAGTTCTGCCAGCAGGTTGTCCCTCTCTCACCACACATTGGACTCCTGGAAGACATTCACCCTGCCTCCTTCACCCTGGACCTCAGAGGGCACCCAGCGCACTGCTGTGCATTTGGTAGGTGCTTAACAAATGTTCTCTAAAGTTACTGGATACAATCTTCTGGCAGGTGCTCCGGTTACTCCAAATAAGGAAAGGAACATCTATATAGCACATGTAAATCCAGAACAAGAGAAAAAAATTTTAATCATCTAAATGCTTTTGGGATCTGTTTGTCTTGTGTGACTGAATATATATAGAAATATAAATATTCTCTTAGAATTTACAGAAAGGTAAATTCCTTTCCTAAAAACCTTAGAAATAATATGAAAATCACAAAAATGCAGTTATAAACCATAATAAAAAAATCCCTATTCACCAATAGAAAAAGAGATTCGGATGAGCCAAAGAACATTCTGGCAATCTCCAGATTTTATGATCTTGTGATACTCCAATCACCTGTCAGAACCATAAAGCAATGACGGACACAAACCCATATGATGAAAGGGGGAAGACCATACGGCTCGTCAAACTTCACTGAGAGCCAATACAAATGGCCTGTGTCTATGAACCCGGAGGACACTTAATTCTTCAAAGTTAAACCAATTTTAAAAGTAACTCTTCTAATTCATCTTTCTAAACTGATTGAAAGAAGTCAGTGAAAAGGAAGTCCAGATTATTTTTCGGTAAATGAAGAGTCAAATCATTCTGAAGAGCACTACTTTGTAGCAACATAGAAGATAAATTCTACATGTGCTGGTAACTCTCCCTCTGTTACTGCCAGCATATTTCAAACACGTGTACTTAAGTGTCCTCCTCCTGCGCCCAGGAGTCAAAACTTGGTTAAAACTTTTCCTATATTCATCAATCTGAAGAATTGTAAATTACTGATTAGAAGTTAGGATTCACATTCAGGGAATCGAAATCATCTCTTATTATGTTTAAAGGTATCATTGCTAATACTCAAAAGAACTTCTGAGTTGGCATAACTAAGCAGAGTTCGTCTGACAGCTCGTGGAACCCCACGACCACTCTCATGTCCCTGAAGGCTCTTACACCTTCATGAAAGTGATCCCTTGATTTAAAAAAAAAAAAAAAAAAAAAAAGGAACAAGCAAACCTCAAGTTAATGGAGTGGGGAAGAGTTTATAGGAATCTTCTCCGTGCCTCTTGAACTCTTTACCCCCCAGGGTCTCCGGGGGAGTGTGAAAGGGAGAGCAAAGCCTAAAGGGTTCCGGACCCCCAGAGGCCACGAGCAGGGCCCAGGGGGCCAGACACCACCCCGTGACACTTAAGTCCAGGCTGGCCTTGGAAGGGAGTCGGAGACCAACTTCCTCCGAGTGGAGGTACTTAGGGCAGCCGCCTGCACTGCCCCCAACTCACCTGCGATTCATGGGCCGGACCCTTACGGCCACCTTGACCGATGCCATTGATCATCCCGGACCAGCCCGCGCTGGGGATCAAACCTGCTCAGCTCACCGACGCAGCGGCTACTCCGGACTCCGGCCGCCTCTCCCGCCCACTTCCCTCTGACCCGCCCACGCCCCCGTCGCTCGGACCGGGCGCCCGCGGCGGCTCCACCTGCCCCGCCACTGAGCATGCTCAGAGCGGCTCCGACCCGCGTGATCCGTGCGCGGGCCCGGGCCGCGCCTGGGAGGCGTGGGAGGGCGGGGCCGGCAGGCATGAACGCCGCCGCCTGAGGTTACGTGGTTGGGAAGATATCACTGAAGTCAGTGGCACGGCAGTCACTGACAGCGACCAAAGCGGTGTGCTTTCAGGAAAACTGGAACCTCAACCTAATCCCACTAAAAACGGGAGGAAGAAGAGGGAGTCTCAGTAACTCAGGGCCTGAGCAAGGACGAGTCCTGGAGGGCAGCTTAGTAAAAACAGTATTTCAGCCTTAAACACCGACCTGGCTTTGCCCCACAGTGCAGGAGTTAGCTAATCAAATTTAGGGAGGAAGAAACGGGCACAGCGATGATCGCAGCTTGTTAGTGGGGAGCCCCTCTACGGCCGTCTCTGCAGCTCTAAGGCTGACCAAGCATGGGTTTTGGACACCTCCATTCAGGGCTACCGAGAAATGAAAATAAAAAGGTACTAAATATTTTTAATGTTGGATAAAATTAGCTATTTTGGTTGAAACCAGGTCTTAGATGTACTTTTTTGCACTTATTTACAGCTTAATAGTTTACTTTTAACCATAAGGGTTTAGGGGTGGGGAGGACCCTCTCTTTAGCAGGGACGTCCAGCCTGTCTCGGGCCACACATTAAAGACACAAACACTAACAAAAACTGATAAGCAAATAAAAGGATTTAAGGAAATTTACAATTTTCTGTTGGGCCTCATTCATAGCCATCCTGGGCTGCATGCAGTCCGGGGGCAGTGGGTTGAACACCCTACTAAGGGTTAGAGCTTGTAGTAGAAGTGAGGTCTTACCCGGCCACTTTTCCTATCGGCAGGATGTAAATTCATTCATTCATTGTGCATTCATTTACACATACCCAAGAGCCCACCTATGAGCCACAGGGTTACCTGCAGCCCATATGTAACAAACCATCTGTTCTGCCTCCCTCCTGCTCCCCTATTCAGGGAGGCTCAACACAACAGCCTTCCTTCCACCTCCCTCCGCCCAGATACCACTCTTCCTACCCCCACAGCTAACACAGGGGTGCGGGCGAGTCCACTGAATACAGTGCTCAGCCCTCAAGATCCACTTCGGCTCCCAAGCCCATAATGGGGCCCCAAAGGGATGCTCTGCCCTATCCCTCCCACTCCCTGCCAGTATTTCACACCTCCAAGACACCCAGAACTGACTAGCTGCAGCCCTAGTTCAAATAAAGGGGACAGAAGCAGGTAAGTGGGTCTGTTTCCCCAGGAAGTCAAGCTATAATGGAGGTCAAAATAAGTACAGGATGGGCTCCAGGATTTGAACGCTAGCTCCAACACTAGTTTTAGGGTCCTGCAATCTGAATTATTGGGCACCTCTGAGGCTTCTGCTATACTGCAAATCATCAACAACTCCATGCGGAGTTGGTTAATGCATTGAGATGGTGCCTGCAAACATGTGACCCACTAAGAAAAAGAATCACTATATCATCAGCTTCCCTAAAGCCCCGCAGGTAGCCCAGTATCAGCGCCCCTTTGGTTTCTAGAGCACTGAAAACCCTGAGTGTCCTTTCCTAGTGCCAAAGCGCAGAGCTGTGTGCAGATCACACCACCGGGCTGTGATAAAACCTGTAGCGCCAGATTCTGGAGAAGGCTGGGCATGCGCGGTAACGACCGGCTGGCTGGCAGCTGGGGAATGAAGCCAGCTCAGTGCCCTTGCTGCCCCAGGCAGGGGCGGACCTGCATTATATGGGAGCTGCGGGGGGACAAACTGCGTGGGCCTTCGCCGGCGGCGCTTGACCCGGCACCTTTGCGAGCCACCTGCTGGAGCTCCGGGCCTCAGCGCACTGAACACCAAGAGGACCTCACGCCCAGCTGAAGTACCCCAATTCTTAAGGACAACAAATTAACCTTTGTAGGGAAAGTTTTAGTTTACTCATTAAGGGGATTATCTGTTCCTGAGACTTTAGTAGTTGGTTTTTTGAGGGGTTTCTTTCTTTTATTCATCAGTTCGTTCGTTCTTGTGTTTCCAGCAACCTACGCGTGCCTTTAAACGCCCTGTCCTTCCGTGGCGTTGGCCTTTTGACACAAAGACCCCAAACAGCGCTCCTGGGGCGTTTTAATAGGCAGGAGGCAGTAGGACTTCTGCTCACCCGAGGTGGGATGGAACATACATTTAGCCAGAGAATATTTCTAGTGGAGAATTAAAAAGTTTTTGAAAGAAAATATTAACTAGAAAATAAGTGGATGGCTCATCTCAAACTTTAACGTGCACACTTGTAGTGCTTTGCAAACTTTAACGCTTATACCAGTCTCCTGAGGGGCTTGACAAACTGCAAATTCTGACTCGGCAGATTTGGAGTGAAGCCTGAGATGCTGTGTTTCCAACAGTCACCTGAGGTTGCGGATGCCGCAGATCAGGGACCCACACTTAAGAGGCGGGACGACTTGGTGGTCTCTAAACTATGGGAGCTTTCAAATGCTGATACTGAAAGACAGTCACAGGTCTCAATCCAGAGTCCCAAGGGTCAGTGAATAGAATTCAGGAGTTCATATCAGTTATGTATCATAACCTAAGAATCCAAAATTTAGCGGCTTACAACAAGAACCATTTATTATTTCTCACTGTCATGAAGGTTGCTGGTCTCACCTGGGATAACAACTTACCTGTGGAGCTAAGGGCTGAAGATTGGACTCAGCTGGGAGGACTGGGAAGCCTGTGCCTCTTTCTCCTTTTCATCCTCAAAAAAGCTTAGACCAGGTTTCTCCGTTTGGCAAAGTAGCCTTCTGGGAGAACACGCCCAGTGATTGATGTCCCACTAGCCAGAGGCAGCAAGCCTAGCATCAGTGTGGGAGATGTCACCCACTTGGAGGGGGTACTCACGGGAACCACTAAAGTTACAAATTTATCAGAAGCTTTCATGAACTTGGATGAGAAAAAATGTATTTCTGTAATAGCCACTAACTAAAATGTATTAGTTTAGTAATATCAGAGATGTGGCACCTCTAGAAATCACAGATACTTTCGTTTTAAATTAGAATTGCTGCAGCTTACACCAAATGTTAAAATCATTATTACTTTGAAATTATGGTAGTCATTAGACTGACACTAAATGTTATTTGTCTTATCTTGCTATTTAATATAACCACACGTAACTCAAAAACAAATGTATTTTTCTCATATCTTGATCAGTGTATTTCATTATAATTGATTTTCTTTTTAACCTCATGTATTTTATTTTATGCATTTAAAAATGTTATTCTCAAAATGTTCCTTTCACCAGACAACCAAAAGTGTCCATGGCACAAACAAATTTAAGAATCCATAATTTAGAAATTCATTTGGATGAGTGAAGGGTATTTCTATTTTCCTAAAAAGGCTGAATGGTGATGGAAAAAAAAAGATTCTGCACCTGGGTTAAAAACCCAAATGGTATTAAATGAGATGAAAGTATTAATCCAGTCACCAGTAAGGGGTGTTTGTGTACGTTATTTTTATTTTATTTGCTTGTTTTGATGTTTATTTGGCCCTGCACTTATTGTTGAATTCTTTTTTTTTATGTTCAGCAATCTTACTACTGCCAAATAGTTGTGATTTAAACTCCCTGAGTTTTAGCTTCTTCATTTCAAAGTGACATAGCAACTGAAATAGAATGTTCACTCCACCTTAAAATATTTGAATCATCTTGAAATACCATTATCAGAAAAAAAGGATTATATCCCTACCAGCTATATATGCAGCTATGTATTTTCCCCCTAACCTCTAAGGAATAAAATTTATTACTCTCTCACAAGCATGACATTGAAAAAACCTTGATAAACAGCAACCTGGCGCACTGAAATTGGAACAAAGAATACACTGACATCTCAGAGACTCAGCTGTTTTCCTCTGGGCTAGAAGCACTGACCTCAAGAGTTATATCACACAGTGCACTTAATATCTCCTTGTGGGGTACTTTACACCATGAGACTTAAGTTGAATTTGGGAGCTATGAGGTGAGCCAAAAAACAAAAGTGTTCTCCTGGTTTTCAAACAAATACATAATAGTATCAGAGAAAGAAATCATAGATATTGAATCTAAACCCATTTTCATTTTCTAAGTCATAAAATGTAAGGTAAATTTAGCATCTTATAAATACTAAACATTGAGAGCAAAGATAATTTGAAAAAGTGTACTTTAGGGCCTATGAGTGAAATCTGAGCTCCAAAGTAATGGTAACGATCATCACAAAAGTCATACATAGTAATTTTGCTGCAAAACTATAGGCAGGCAACTATGAATGCCATCTTTCTATTACAGCAGAAGTGAATAAAGAAATCACAGCAGATTCAATTTAATAGAAACAACCACCCTAAATCATAGTCATTTTATATACTAAGATGAAATAAGATTGTTTTCAATTGCATGTAACTGTACCTATGGTCCCAAATAGTTCAGGATTGATGGACTTCGTAGAGTCTCTGGCAGCCTTTCAACTTCTTCAGAGTGAGAAATCACATTTAGTTGAAGTGATGAGGAAAAAAATTGTGGATGAATTAGTTTTGGAGATGGGCCTTGCAGGAGGGATGGAATTCAAACACCAAGATGGGTAAGGAGCTGATGTTCTGAGCAGAGAAAATACCTTAAACAAATGTTGGAAAAGCAAGAGTTTTGCTCTGGGAATAGTGGGAAAGCCCCTTTACCTAAAGCAAAGTGTGAGTGATTTAAAGATAGTTATTGTCCACCTAAGAAACATCCAAACCTGTAGAGAATTTTTATGAATTTATTTGAGCCAAACTAATGACAATGGCCGAGAAGCAAAATCTCAAGGAACTGAGAAAATTCTCTGGAGGATGGCAGTTTTACAGCGTAGTTTCTGCATCAGAATCAAAAGAGGAAACTGAAAAAGAGTTACATGAGATCTATTGGTGGTAGATTAAGGGAGTAGGAGAAAGCTAAGTGGAGAAATCTCTGGTATCA